TGTTTGTTAAGGAGCTTTCCTCCCAAGGGGTTAGTAATGCTCCCAGGAGCATTAACAAGGTCAACATTACATGTCCTTAGCAATCTTAGTTATAGGAATAAGGTATATTATTTAAGTTAGGATTTGCCAAAAGAACAACTTTAAGCTATTGAAACAAATTTGTCTGCAGTCTCTAGTGGTAAAGGTTTCTGTTCTATGACTGAGAGGGGTGGAAACAGCAAAAAGGCCATGAGATAGAAGACAGACCAAAACAAAAGTAGTAAGTAGATAGATGAAAGGAAGCACAATCCAAAATTATCACTTCTTTTCAATCTTCTATGAACTTGCAGCACCCTTTCCACAAGCGGTCATCAGTCTTTATGGCAGCCTTCCAGACACGGCTGCCTCTCTGGAAATCATAGTGACACGTAATTCTGCCCCAAGCTCCCCCTGGACAGCATTTCCCTAGTGAGTAGACAGCTGCTCTCTGCTTTAAATCAGTGGTGGAACTTACCAGGTCACCATTTGTTGAATGGATGTTATAATTATTGCATTCTATTTCATACTAATTGAGCAAAAATTGACCTCTAAGAGCAGTAGTAGAGAAAGTGGTAGAATTCTTGACTTCCCTATGAGACAGTCAATTCAGCTCCTGGTTGACATGCTTCAAATGTAGTCTATAACAAGGATGTGTGTTGCTATGATGATGAATAAACTTCAGCGGGAGTATCCAGATTAAGACTAGGGGGGAAAGGCCTAGTGATCTACTTCCAAAAAAATCAGAGAACTCAGACAAGGAAAAGCCACACTGTCTAGCCCGCTGTGCAGATGTCACCAAGAGTCAGAAATTGTCATGAGTTGGATGCTGACTTAATGGCAATCAATCGTAACATGATGGCTCAATGTACTTTAAAAAATCCCTTGTTGCCTTCAGGTCAGAACTGACTCGTAACTGATCCTCCAGTGAGTTTTTAGAGGCTGTAAATCACATGGAAAAAGATTTCCTATCTTTTCTTCCAAAGAGTTGCTGTTAAACTTGAACCATCATAGAGGCACGACCTTTGGGTTAGCAGCACAACTCCTTGTGGTCTGTGCCACGAACCTCCATGTAATATCCACCTAACTTAATTGCACTGCAACACAAACATAAATGGTTAGAATCCATCAGCAGCTCTTTTGGAGAAAGATGTGTAATCTCCCATGTGATTTACTGCTACTGGAAATTTGTTCGGGGGTTACTGTGGGTCAGTTCTGGCTTGATGATATACAACAACAACATCTAGAAGCAAAGGAGCCCTGGTAGCATGGTGTGTTACAAGGGCTGATAACTGAAAGGTGGGTAGTTCAAATCCACTAGCTGCACCGAGGTAGAAGAATAGTTGTTTTCCTCCCATAAAGATTTACATACAGTCTTGTACCTGATGGAGGGTCACCATGAATGGAATTTGACTCGAAGCCAGTGGATTTGAGTTTTGATATTTAGAAGCAAGCAACCTCATTATAAAAAACACAACAAAACACCTTTTCCAAACCATGCTGTGAGCCAAAGGAGATCTAGAAACAAAAAAATAGTGTCCTGTTCATGCTTCTCACTGTGGAACCCACACTCATGTCTTTTCTCAAAAAAGCAAATCCTCGATCTTTTTTAGGGAGCTCTTGTGGCCTACTGATAAGGAGTCACGCTCCTCATTCAAAGGCATGCAGTTCAATCCAGCAGCTGCTCTGTGGGAGAAAGATGGGAGTCTCCTCTAGTTCAATTTACTGCCTCTGAAAATCAGCTGATCAGCTGTGAGTTGGTTCTAGTTCAAGGGCACATACCGGCAGACCTCTTTTACTTTATTTATGACCATCACTGTACCTGGCAAACTGATTTTACTCCCTTGGTATACAAAATGACTCCATAATTAACCTCTTGACTTTGTCTAGGCTTGTCTCGAGCGGGACTTTAGAAGTTAGATATAGCCATCTGCTTCCAAGCAGCCATTGTTGTTGTTACGAGGAGTCAGAACCCACTCATTGCTGACCCTCTGTGGACTTTCAGAGGCTGTAAATTACACTGAAGGAGATTGCCTAGCTTTCTTCCACAAGCAGTCAAGTGATTCCCTTAATATAACCAACAAGAATTGCTCTGGTTGTTATTGGGAAGTTGTTGTTGTTGTATACCGTCAAGTCAGATTGACAGCAGACCCTCTGTCAGGTTTTCTGAGGCAGTTAATCACATGCAGTGGAGGAGATTACCCATCCTTCTCCCACAGAACAGCTGGTGGATCCAAACCGTGTGGCTTTGGGATTGCAGCACAGCTTCTTGCCACTACGCCACCAGAGCCTGGGTTTTGTTTGTTTGTTTGTTTGTTTGTTTGTTGGGCTTTTAAAAATTTTTATTTTATACTGCTTTATTTGCAAAGTTCGAATAAATTTTTACACCGGATTTTTTCCATTTCCTTCACTGCTGCACCCACCGATCAAATTGGGCAACCCTATAATTAACCACCTCACACACACCCCCACTGCCCATCCTCACCCCTCTGTTCCACCCTCCCCACCTCCTTGGATTTTCATACTTATTCTACAGTAATAGTTTTTACACAGTATTTGTCCTTATGGGACTGACTTAATTCACTGAGCATAATGCTCTCCAGTCCCTCCCAAGTTAGGTAGTGATTTTTAAAATCATTGCTACTGTGTGCCACGTTAATATTCCATTGTATGAATGTACCATAATGTCTCAATCCATTCCATTATGGTTAGGTATTTGGGCTGTTACCATGTTCTTGTGATGGTGAATAATGCTGCTATGAACATTGGTGTACAAGTCTCTGTTTGTGCTTCAGTTCTCATTTTCTCAGAGTATATTCCAAGCAATGGAATAGCTGAATCATGTGGAATTTCTATGTTCACCTTTTTGAGTAAACACCAAACTGCCTTCCAGAATGATTGTACCATTGTACAATCCCACCAAAAATCTGTTTCTTGACTGGACCTTCCCTAGACTCAGGCATACAAAATGCTAGATATAAAAGCCTATACATAATACAACAAGGTTCTCTTATTTAATTTTTTTAATAAACATTAGCATTGAGAGATTTCATATTAGTGTCTCTGCTTCTCTCACTATGTAGTAGAACTGTTCCATAGAGTTTACAAGGCGATGACCTTTTTGACTTAGATCACACTGCTTGATCATTGATATCACATGCTAGCAAAATACTGCTGAAGATCATTCAAAAATGGCTGGAACAATACATAGATAGGGAATTTCCAGAAGTTCAAGTGGGATTTAGAAGAGGCTTTGGCACTAGGGATATCCTTGCTGATGTCAGATGGATCCTAGCTGAAAGTAAGGAATACCAGAAGAATGTCTGTTTGTGCTTTATTGACTATTCAAAGGCATTTGACTGTATGAATCATGACAAGTTGTGGCTGACATTGAGAAGAATGGGAATCCCAGAGCACTTGATTGTGCTCATGAGGAACTTATATCTGGAGCAGGAGGCTGTTGTGTGAGTGGAGCAGGGGAGCACTGCATGGTCTGGAATTGGGAAGGGAGTGCATCAGGGATGTATTCTATCTTGATAGCTGTTCAATCTATATGCTGAGCATTTATCCAAGAAGCTGGACTCTGTGAAGAGGAGTGTGGCATCAGGATTGGAGAGACTCATCAGTAGCCTGCATTATGCAGATGACACACCTTGCTTGTGGAAAGTGAGGAGGATTTGAAGCACTTGTTGCAGAAGATCAAGGAATACAGCCCTCAATATGGATTGTGTCTCAATATCAAGAAAACAAAGATTTTTACCACTGGGCCAATGGGCTATGTCATAATGGATGGAGATTGAAATTGTCAACAGCTTCATCTTGCTTGAATCCACAATTAACACCCTTGGTACAAGCAGTCAGGAAATAAGGAGATGCATTGCACTGGGAAAATCTGCAGTTAAGGACCTTTCCAAATTATTGAGGAGTAGTGATGTCAGTTTGAGGACTAAGGTGCGTCTGATTCAGGATATGGTCTTTCCTATTACTACCTATGCATCTGAGACTTTGACAATGAATAGGGATGTCAGAAAAAGAATTGATGCCTTTGAGCTGTGGTGTTGAAGAAGAGCACTGAACATTCCATGGGCAGCCAAGAAAACTAATAAATATGTCTTGGAGAGGGTGCAGCTGGAGTGCTCTTTGGAAGCAAGAATGATGAGGCTAACAACATACTTCGCCTAACATACTTTGGACATATTGCTTGGAGAAGGACAGGATGTTGAGAAGGGTGGAGAGTCAGCAAAGGAGAGGCAGACCCTCAACCAGGTGGATTGACCCAGTGACTGCTGCAATGGGCTCTTGTGTATCAGGAAATGTGAGGATGGCTCAGGACAGGACTGGTTTCAAATCTTTTGTTCATAGGGTCTCTATGAGTCATACTCAACTCAGTGGCACCTAACAATAACAACACTGCTTGTCTTCCAAGGCACCTCTGAGTTAGTTCAGACCACTACCCTGTTGTTTGTTGTTAGGTGCTGTCAAGTAAAAAAAAAAAACTCATAGCGGCTCTTTTAAGAACAGATCTGAACCTTGCCCTGTCCTCCATCTTCACCATCTCTGATATGCTTGAGCCCACTGTTGTCGTCGCTGTGTCAACTCATCTTGTGAAGGATCACCTTCTCTTTCTCTGACCTCTCCCCCTTCTCCACATGATGTGTTTCTTCCAAGGACTAAGCCCTTCTGACAACATGCCCAAAGTATGTCAGATGAAATTTCACTGTCCTTGCCTGTAAGGAGCAACCTGGTTTCACTTCCTTCAGGACAGACTTGTTTGTTCTTGTAGCTGTCCAGGAGACATTTAGTTCTCTTCTTCAAGACCACGATTCAAAGCCCAAGGACTCCTAGTTATTCAGAGTTATATAAATATAATTTGTATTTATTTCCTTTTTTTATTTTTTTTAGGTAATGTGGCCTACAGCCTGAAATATTCAGGCACTTCCTCCTAGCAAGAAAAAGATCCTTTGTTCCTTCTGAAATTTTTCAACATGAGTCACAGTAAAGTAACGCCTAAACTCTCTGTTCAGTCTCCGATCCTTCGCACCAAACGAAATATCCAGCCTACAGTTCAGCCTTCTAAGAAAGAAAGTGCACATCTGATTTCAAAGGACTCTTTGGAATCTGATTTGGAAGTTGTCCTTCGAGGGAGCAAATCAGAAGTTGAGGGCAGAACCCAGAACGACAATATGGAGGCTGACAGTTTAGAGGTGGATAGCCCTTCAGGGGAAACCCTGAGCGAGATGGAAGAGGAAGCCAGACACAAAGTGGCCCAGATGACCAGCACAGAAAAGCACCAGACCCAGGGCAGCAGCCCGAATAACAGGTAAAGGGTTGGTTTGCCTGAGGGAACAAAGACTTGTTGAATATACTGTTAAATAATTGCAGCAGCTTGTGAAAAGACAGCAAGGACAGGTTGGATAAAGAGAACCAGGTCTCCAGACAGCCAAGGACAACCTGGCACCACATTAATTTCTTTTGTATGGGGGGAAAATGCAGCAACAAAAGAATAGACAAAATGTGGTATGTGCATACAGTTCTATGCTGTTCAGTCGTAAAGGGAAATGAAGCTCTAATAGGACAGACCTGGGAAATACTGGCTGTGTGAAAGCAGCCTGTGACAGGATAAATGCTATATGATACCAGTTATAGCAAATAACTGTTACTGTGTGCTGTCAACTTGAATCTAACACATGATGATCCCATTCCATAGGACATGGCAGAACTGTGTTATGGTATCTTCTAAGCTATATTCTTTTTCTCCCATTTTTAAAATTGTGATTTGAGTGGAAGTTTACAAAGCCTATTGTGGATTCCACCCCCCCCCAGTCATTTATGCACATTTTGTTCCATAACGTCAGTTACAATCCACACAATGTCTGATCATCCATTCCATTCATATTGTCATTGCCTTCACCCATCTTAACAAGCATTTCCTATCTGTTAATTAAATTTCTACTTCCCCCTTCACTTCCTCTCCTGGTAACTATTCAAAGACAATTACCTCCATATATAAAATTTTCTCTAGCCTTTTAAACAGTGGATTTATATAATATTTGTTCTTTTGTGACTAATTTATTTCACTCAGCATAATAATCTCTAGATTAATCCATGTTGTGTAGTGTTTCACGAATTCTTCATTGCTTTCTGGTGTTGTGTAAGTACCCCAGTGTGTGTGTATGTGTGTGTGTGTACCATAGTTTCTCTAGTAAATTTTTTTGTAAGAACTTGGGTTGCTTCCATCCAAGCTATAAAGTAGATGAGAGTGGGTTATCAGATCATTTCTGATCCAGAGCAGCTGATGAATTTAAACCACTGACCTATCATTTAGCAACTAACCATTGCACCAGTCGAGCTCCTATTGCTACATTATTCACAATAGCAATGAGATGGTAGCAATCCACGTGCCCATCAACAAACGAATGGCTAGAAAAACTATGGTATATTCACAAAATGGAATACTATGCAGCACTGAAAAACAATGAACTTATTAAACATTATACAACCTGAGTGACCCTGGAGACTTTATGTGGAGTGAAATATCTCAGTCACAGAAGGAAAAATACTGCATAACAACACTGTTATAAAGCAGGACTGGTACGGAGGGCTAGGGGAAAGCTAGGAAAAGAGCAAATAGATCATAAACACTGTGTTGTAACAGAGGAAGGAAAGAACTGTTTAGAAGGAATATATGATTCTGGATTATATGTATGACAACTGTCCAGAATAAGAGATTGATTGCAAAATGGGGGGTGGGGTCTGGAGAGGGAGGAAATTGTACAACAATGAGTGGATGAAAATCCAACTTTTCTATAAATTTTGTTAAAATCACAATTTTAAAAATAGAGGGGGAAAGGGAGCTCTGGTGGCCTAGTGGCAAGAAGCTGCATTGCAGTCCCAGAGGTATGCAGTTTGAATCCACCAGATGCTCTGCTGGAGAAGGAGGGGCAGTCTCCTCCTATACCAGTCAGATACAATTTGACAGTACACACATACAAAATAATAAAATTTTTTAAAAAGAGGAAAAAATTCAAATATCTAAAATAAGCAAATATATAGAAACACAAGTTTCCTCGTGGTTACCAGGAATAAAAGGAAAGGGGAATGGACTCATACCCCAGAGGCACTAAGTTTCTATTAAGGGTGATAGAACAATTTAGAAATGGATGATCGCAAAATTTAGAAATGGGCTATGGTGATAGTTGATCACGTGATGAGTATAATTAATGTCATTTAGCTGTAGTTAATGTCATTAATAAATACTTCCCACAATAAGAAACAATATAAATACAAAGAAAAAGATGCAGGAGACAAAGATAGATATCCTTTTTTTCTGTTTATAGATTACATTTTCTTATTTATTTAAATGTAACAATACTAACAATTTCAATCAGAAATATGTGAGCATAATGTTCTCCTAGACAGCCATGTTTTTAAAAATTTCCCAACTGTTTTTGTGGAAGATAAATACGCTTAAGGGATTTTGCCTTTTCTTCTTATTTCCTGTACTTCAAGGTCCTCCATTATTATGATGCCATCATGGAGAAATCTCTGAAAGCTTGGTAAATAAAAGCACATGAGGAGCTCTTGTGGCTAACTCAAAGGTCAGTTCTTTGGCCACTTGTTCCACAAGAGACAAGACCTGGCTGTCTGCTCCCATGAAGGCAGCAGCCTAGGAAGTCCTGATGAGCAGTGCCACTCAACCCTCTGAAGTCACCGTGAGACAGAATTCCTTCAGTGGCACAAACAATCTTGAAGTGTTTCAGGGAAAGGCTCTCAAACCCTCACTCATTCTCATTGCCATTGACTCAGGACTGACTCACAGCTGATCCTCCAGAGGGTTTTCTGAACAAGTGAATCACACAGGAAAAGATTGCCCGTCTTCCCCCCAAGGAGCCACTGGTAACTTTGAACCATTAGAGAGGCATCACCTTTCGGTTAATGTACAACTCTCTGTGGACTATGCCACCAGGGCTCCCTACTCTAATGCTGTAATACATCAAAAGCATAGGACTTCGTGTCATGTGGTCTTGGTTTGGTCCCAGCACTGCCGTTTAATGTGTTATTTGAAAAAAAGTCATTTAATGCTTCTGCAGTTCAATTTGTCTCATCTGTGAAAGGATCTAGCCCTGACCACCTCATCTCATTGCTGTGAATATCAGTAAGGTGTGCACCAAGAATGGAGGGCAGAATCCTACTTACTCTATACCTTCTAAGGCATATATGATCATTTTAAGGTGAATCAAAGGAACAATGATTTCGTAAAATACGGTATAGCATGGGAGTCTAGAGAGAATGATGATGAATGAGCTAACTTAGTCTCATAAGGACAAATACTGCATAAAAACATTATTGTAAAAATTAAAGGATAACTAGTTAGATGTGTGTGAATAATCTAAAGGGGTAGAGGAGGGAGGGATAGCGATAGAAAAGGGGGAATGGTGGAGATCACTGGGATAGCAGTTTTTGGAAAGATTCAGTGGGGACTCCAAGAGATAGGGTGATAATAGGCACAGATCAATAGAGATTGATTGTATGAAGAATAGTGTATATGAATGATTGTATGAAACACAATGCAAATGAAAAATTGTATAAATCACAGTACACATGAAGGAAACACAATAAAAAAATTAATCAGCACTTCCATATTGATTAAGCAGTCCTACTTGAGTCCATGTTGGGCTCTTAACGGAAAGGCCAGCAGTTCAAATCCAGTAGTTGTTTTGTAGGAAAGAAATGAGCAGTCTTCCCCTGTAAAGATTTACAGCCTCAGGAACCCAGTGGGAAATTGTCCTGGACTAGACAGCAACACATTTGGAGGATTATTTTTATTTATTTTAATATTGTCCAGTCATATTCCAATAAAACTAGCTGCCATTAAGTTGACTGGGCTTATAGATCAGAGTGAAACTGAGGCCATAGGATTTCCAATAACTGATTTTTCGAAAGTAGATTGCCAGACCTTTCTTCTGACGTGCCTGTTGAGGGACACCAGTCAAAGCTCCAGTCTTTTGGTTTGCAGTTGAGCACATTAACCGTGTGTGCCATCCAGGGAGTCTGATTAATTAATATAGAGATGATAATGTATATTTATGGAGTTTTATCAGTATTTATAACTTTATCCTATGACCTATAAGAAACAGTATCAAACCTTCTTTTCATGGTTGGTGCAACCTCACATCGATGAGCTGCACCTCATTTGAATTATGAACAAGTTGTCATGCCCCTTTGGTGGGTCACAAGTACCTCACATCTGCATAATCCTAGCCATTCGCTCTGTGGGTATTAAAAAGATAGTGGGTCCTACTAACAATTCACTACACCGCAGAGGGCTTATTGGCAGGCCTAGGATGTGAGCAACGTTTTGAAGATAGGGTGTGGTTGAAAGAGTAAAATTCAGGTAGCACATTTGTGGCACATTAAAAAGCCCAGATTAATCACAGAGGGTTTGTTCTGAGTGTTGAGAAAGTTCATCAAGTCGGTCCTGATTATGTTGTTGTTTTGTGTAATGTCAAGTTGGAACCAACGCATAGTGGACCCTCCAGCAAGTTTTCAGAGGCTGTTAATTGCATAGGAGGAGAGTACCTGTCATTCTCCCTCAGAGCAGCTGGTGGATTTGCTTCATGTTTTGGGGTTAGCATCGCAACTCCTTACAATCAAGCCTCAGAGCTGCTGGCAACCTGCCTGAGTCCAAGCACACCACACATTGGATGAGGATACGGAGTCCCACAGGACCCAAATGACTTATCCCAAAGGTACGGTCATAGCGGAGGCTCATGTGGTAGCTACAGTTTGATCTCAGATCTAAGGTCTAGTGCTGAGAGGTAATTTGTCTTTTCTTCTTCCCATTCTTTCCCCCTCTGGTAATAATGAGAGGATCTCTAAAGTCCAGGATGCAGTCAGTGCAGTAGGTGCAGCCCTGTCATAGCACAAGGAGGTGGATGAGGGTCTTTTGATGGTTTCAGAAAGTCAGGCACACAGACAGGACAGAATGAGTCACAGAAGAAATTAGCAGTTCCTGGAGAGTACTGAGCAGAAGATTTCAAAGGGCAGCTTACATTTTTCAAGTTTTTACATATTTTTCATTGATACGTATGGCCTTAGAGCATTCACGTTTAACTACTGTATTAGTTACATGAAGGTTTAGTTCATCTGTTTTCCTATTGAAGAGCATTTAGGTTATTTCCACTGGGCATTGTTCCGAGCAACACTATGTACCCAAGAGCTCCTCTAGTGGCACAGTCTGTAGGGAGTTGCCCTGCTATCCCAAAGTTGGTGAGTGTCTAGGAGTTCGAATCCACTGGTGGTTTTGCTGGACAACTTCCT